CAAATTTGCGATAATTTCTTGGAGCTGTCTTTCAGACGCATACGCACAAAATCAACCACTTCCTCGCTGGACATATAATTCCAGATGCCATCGCAGGCCAGAACCATGAATTCATCTTCTGGAGTAATGATTAGTTTCTTCACATCCGGCAATGCGGATATCATCTGTGCTTCAGCAGGCAGTTCCAGGTTCGTCTTGTAAGCATGATCACCCAGAGCTCGGGATAGATTTAGCCCCCCATTGACGCGGCCATCGAGAGTAACACGACCGCCGGCCTTGATAATACGAGCAGACTCCTCGTCATCCTCGGGCTTATGATCCAGACTCATATCAATGGCCTTGCCATTGCGACAGATAACACAACGCGAATCGCCAGCATTGGCCACATACAGATCGCGACCATGCAACAAGCCAACAACAGCAGTGCAACCGCTATCTTTACCTGGTTCCTCAATCATGTTGGCACAGAAATCATTGTTCGCCATTTGATCTTCATCTTCCTCATCATCGCTTACGTTTTCATCCTGTAAATGCAAAAGGAAATGTTTAGTAAATAAAAACTTTGATAACCTCTTTAAATATTATCATTAAAGGTAAATAGTTGGCTTCACATTTTACCTCGTCATCGTCGTCGTCGTCTTCGTCGTCATCATCATCATCATCATCATCGTTGACGTCGTTATCATCCTCCATATCGTCATCCGATGAACTTTCGGCCGCAGCAGCAACTTCTTGAGCCTTAGTCACAGCATTCTCGTCATAGTCGGCATCATCATCGGTGGACTCTTCTTCTTGAGAAGCATTGGCTTTCTTCAGCACTTTCTCCGATTCCTTGCTGGTAGACGAGATGTCAGCGCGCTCTGGCTTGGCATCTACTGCTGGTTTCTCTACGCTGCCGTTAGACTTTGCCTCTGCGATGTCACTGGAAGCGGACACAATAGCATCCTCCGATGCTCCTGCTTCTTTATTGTCATCTACAACCGCAGCTTTGGCCTCTGAAGATGTGACACTGCCATTTTGCTCGATAGGTGCAACGACCGGGCTGCTGGTCGGCGGAATTTTGCTAGCAACGGCTTCGTCCTTGGGAGTAATAGTTGTGCTCGAGGAATTGGTGGTTTTGCTAGCACTTGAACTGCTGCTGCTCACTGTCGACTCATCTTCCGGGTCAATTTTGCCCACTCTTGAGCTACTTGGACCAGCTCCGTCGACTTCGTTGAATGCAGCTACAGCTGCTGCTGAAGTTGAGGAACCTGGGGGCTTTGCTGTAGGATCCATAACAGCCTTATTAACCGCTTCGGCGGCAACAGCTGCAGCACGACGGCCACGCAGGCTCGATGACAATGTGACGGTTGCATTCTCCTCCTTCAGCAACGAAAGGTCATGTGTTTGCGGTAGGCCCTTGTATTTTCCAAGAACCTCAGTTAATGGCAAATTGCTCTCCTCATGCAGCTCAGCCAAGTCTTCAACGTCGTCCTCCTCATCAAAACCCTCACCGTCCTCATCCACAACATTGTGCTCGCCAGCTAAGATTTTCAATGTATTTACCACTGTTGGTTCAAGCAATGTCTTATCAAAGCCCAGAAATGCATCCTTTAGCGCTTGTTCCAACTGGCCGCTCTTATAGCTGGCTAGGCTCTGAAGGAACTTTGGAAGTTGATCGGCACAATATTGGGCCACCTCGGCACCGCCATGACCATCGTAGACGGCAAAGAACGATGTGTCCGTATCAAAATTCAATATTGAGTTATGTGCATCCTAGGATTGGAAATATAAATTGGAGTGTGGATAGCACACAAGGCAGAGACGGTTCATTCACTCACCTCTTGGCTGTTGCGCCAGCCTTGCATCGAGCTGGCACCCACGACGAGCATCTCATTGAATTCGTCTGTGGACGCCTTATCCGTCTTTGGATGCGATAGGTAAGCACCCATTTTTCACTTCACACAATAAGTCCAGTGCTTAAAGAATATCCAATGGAGCTGCACGTAGCGCCAGCCGAGTGCCTGCCTACAGTTTCCGTTGACGAGTTGCGGAAAAATCGATGCTTGGCCAACGCACGCGCGCAGTGTGTACTTTTTTTCGCGCCACCGGCAAAAATAAAGCCGGAGTCAAAGGTTGCTTGAAATTGTTTATTCTGTGAGAATAACAAATTGTTTAAAAGATAGTTAGATATTGTCGTTATTGTTTATTTTTTCTGCTCGCACAATCGAGTTGTCCGCGAATGTTTCATGAAATTTTAAGTTCTACACGTTCTCTTTGGCGTCTCTGCAAATTTTATCGTGTGTATCCAATGCCGCATTGTTCGTTTAATAATTTGCCAAAATATCAAAGAAACTCATTTGTTATGCTCAAGAATAGTTAGAAAATGGCGTGATTTACCAACTTACTATTATTTGCTATTAGTAGTTTACAAAAATTATTCTTTTCGCAATATTTTCGTCTATCCGCAAAAAAAAAAAAATCTACACAGTCCACCGTGTGATGAAAAGATGCCATCAAGTTAAAGATGGGATATTTATTTACTATCGGCCTACATCGTTGTCAAGCATTTTGTGAATCTGGCAACGCTAAAAACTCAAACTGCAGTGTTTCCATCGTTTAATTTGATTCTCCATTTGCCACAGCCCAATACTTACTGATATTGTTAAAAATATGTACAATTTCCACATAAATTTTAAACAGCTTCAAAATTTTAGACTTAAAAAAAGAAATTACCACCACTTTATTCCAAGGTGGCGATATTGAACTGTATATTGTAATAAATTAATACTTTATTTTTCTTTATTTTATTATATTTAAGAAATATATATTTAAAAAAATATGAAAAATTATTATCAAAAGATGTGTAGAATATGTGGTATTTTTGAGTTGACAAGAATATATTTGACTGAAAATTCAAATAAATAAAATATTTAATCCGATTGTAAAAAAAAAAAAAAATAAAATAGGAAATCTATTGGAAAACAAACAAAAAAAAAAAAAAAAAATAAATAAAAAATAAAAATAAAAAATAATAATAATAATAATAATAAACATACAATATAATAATTTAATTATATATAAATTGGAAATTCAGTTATGGCAAACTTAGTTAGTAATTAAATATTATTGTAAATATTATGCCAAATCATTGGATCTAATCTACTTATCTATACCTTCGCTCCCAGAAAATTAGATAAGTACCACCGAGTGGGAGTGAATTGGAATCTAATGGGGTAATCAATCTGAAAATCTGAAGGGCAGGAATTAATATTATTGTATGAGCTCCGAATATTTTAGTGATTATTACAAATATTATTAGTTCAATGCTCGCTCTCTCTCTCTCTCTCTCTCTCTTTTGGATATGTTTCGAATTTACATTAATTATTTATAATAGTAAACGTTTATGATACTAAAAGTTTAACCTATATTTTATGTCCCATATACAGGTTACATTGTTGAATTGATTAAGCTTATTATCTGTTATTTAATATTTTACCTTTACCTGTTCCTCATCTCTTGGGAGCCCCGTAAAGTATGTTATATTCTCGGTTTAAATTGTTGAGTCAGCGCTGGTAATAATTAATAATGTTTGCTATTATACAGCCTTGATATATAAGCTATTAAGTCACATTATTAAGTCAACTATAGGGTGGCCTGGGTGAAGCAGAGGCCAAATCACATTTTAGCTGCATGTTATTTGTAATTAATACATATATCATATATCTCAAGTTAGTTTTGGACAGGTATAAATAGTAATTATTTTATTGAATTTCAAGAGAGTTGTTATTAATTTATAGTAAAATATGTGAATTATATTTTATATAAAAACAATCATAATAATAATATCTATAATAATAAAGTGTTTAATATTGAACTGAAATGTGTGTAAAATTTACTTTGGCATCTATACCCTTTAATAATTTAAAATTCAAATTATTTAACATGAATTTATAATGAAATTTCAATCAGGATAGATTAAAAAAATTATGCACTGATATAAATAACTCGACTAATTGAAAATGCCACAAAATGAGCTAATGAAAACTCGCTGTAAATATGCACTCATACAAGCACACACACATACACACAGGCATACACGCGCACATGTGTGCAAGTTCGACGTCAAGTTTTAAAAGGTTCTCCTTTGCCGGATGCTGGAAATATGAATAGCCGAGAAACGCTCGCTTTTTATAACTTTTTAATTGTTTCGATAATTTTGTTTGCCAATGAATTGGCATTGTCTGTCCGCAGGAAATCTCTCAAGTGACCCCACGTTGATGTTTGAGAAAGAAATGTTTGCTTTACGCTAAATTAATTCTCCATATGTGATGCGATTAGTCACAGCAAACGATTTCGATATGTATGTATATGGAATATACATTAACGAGTCGACAATGGATTTTTGTTGTTTTTATCTAATTGGCACTTGATAGTGTCAGCTGCAAACTATGAATGTGACATTGTTACCCAATTTTTCGGAACTTTTAGAGAGTAAACAGATTTAATAGTTGATTAGATAATTGCTACAGTTAATGGTTTAGCAAATGTCAGTAATCATTTCGTAATTCCATTGAAAACAACAAAAACGGACTTTATTCCACTCAGCTGGCAACTCTGGCGATCTGCAGCTTAACGACACTTCGGAGCAGTGCATTAAACATGAGCGGCTTTCGGCTAAGTCGACGAGCGAGCAACATGTTGCTGTGTGTATTATATAAGCCACTGGCCCAAGACCCAAGGCCCAAGGCAGAATTTGCGAACGCAACAAAAACACAGCAAAAGTCACTTGCTCGTCGAGCACTATCGGCAAGCGAGGGTGTTGCGCAGTTCATTTACACATGCACACACACACGCACACACACACACTCATGCACGCAGGAAGACACTTTTATGTTTACCGTTATCTGCATACCAATACCAACAGCGAGCACTACCCACTGTATTGTTGGCACGCTTCGCTGCGACGCGTCACCCATTCCGTTAGGTATAAAAGCCAAGGCGACCAAAGGACCTGCGCTCATTCACATCGGTTGAGTTGTGTTGAAACGTTCGTATCACTTGCCAAGCAAAGCTCGGCGATTCAGAGCTACCTGTGGCAGCGGCAGCAGGAAGCGTAAGCGCAGTGCGGTGCAGTTTGAATTTACAATTTTTAGCAAAAGTGAGTTTCATTTCGAATTCAATCTCGGTTCTTCGCTAAGCCTTATCGCTCGTCAGTTCATGTAAGCAATCGTGATCCATTTTAAATTCTTAACAATGACTTTATTTGTACTGTGTGGTTAGATCGCTAAATTATAGAAGAAATATACAGAATTTCATTTACAAAAAAATCTTGCGTGAACATATTATACACATATTTAAACATATATATATATAAGCCTTTTAAATGAAAGAATGTGAGCTTGTGTATTAGCCAAATTATACATATACTTATAAATTTTTATCGTATTAAAAACTTGGTTAATGTCGAACTAAAAATCACTTAGTTCTAGAGTCAGTTGGCAAACTGTAGATGTAATCCTTATAGACTTTAAAAGGAAAAGTGCACATCCAATATCTGAAAAGTGATATCAAGCGGATTTACTTCAAATGAATTTTGATTAAGACATAGTATTTATAATACTATTTTATGATCATCGTAACCATTTGCTATACCACTATTTTACCACATTTCGCATATTCAGTTAAATAGAATATAGATTTTTCTAAAAATCCGCGAGATGTGTAAGCACAATAAATATATAACTTACTTGCGAGGAAATTGAAGCTAAATTCAGCTTTTCTAGTGCCATCCGAACAAAACGTCTATAAATGAAATTCTCTATAGATGCATACTCTTGATACTTTTAGGTGCCTTATATTTATTATTCATTTATATTATAGACTTACCGGATACAGGAATTTTAATAATTCTTCACCAATTTATTGCTTCAGATGAGAGCTCTGCATATTTTAAGAAATTGATAGAATTGTTACGCGGACAGTTAAAAAGTTAACCAGTTTTATCTTTTCTTATTAATATTTAAAAATAAATAATTAATTTGATTAAGAGTGAAACAAAAATTTAGTAATAATATAAACTTGCGATCAAAGTTTTGTCATATTTACTTAGCTTCTGATTTGCTATAATTTTAATATTTAATTTATAAATTATAATTACAGATCGCAAACATATGAAATTGGCAATTTCTGTCATATTATTCATTTTGTAATATATCCTTAATTGTTAAGCATACAATTTCAATTAAAATTTGCATTTTTGTTCCTTTTATACCCTGTGCACTCCTTGATAAATATGTATTTATATATATTTACAATTGAAAATTTACTGAAATGAGCAAGACGCAAATTTTCTAATTCTCGCTTAATGAACAGACAAATATTATTCAATGCAAATTACCAAATTGTATTATTAATAAACTGCTAAATATGCATTTTTTTGTCCGTTTCGTGAGAAGAGAAAGGCGTACATACAAACACACAGAAATTTAGTTGAAGTAATGAAATTACTTATTGTATTGAATATTCTAGCTGGGCTCTTCAGAAAAGTTTTCCTTGAGACCCAGGTAACAATGAGTTCTGCCCCGAAGGCCTAATGAATATATATTAAGCACAACAAAAAGTGGCTCAAATGCCTGTTGCCTAAATGAGTCGGGGATGAGTCGAAGAAGAGTCAAAGAGTCAATGAGTCAGCTTCATACATAATAAATATTAAATATGCACAAATGTTTTTGGCTGCATTTTATTTGCCTTTCAGTGAGGCTAAGCAGAAAAGTTTACCGTTGCCCCGGACGTAGCCTGAGGTCGCAGCATCTTTCAATCTAACAATCCAACAATCTGTCAATCAATATTCATAAATTGTTAGCCAGTAGCTGCGGGCAGGTTGTTTATAGAGCTAGTTTTCACAGTGCACAGTGCCAACTTTTGCACAACTCGTGCCCCGCCCACCATCTCGCCCATCGCCCAGCTGCAGGCAGCACGCGACAGCTCCTGCCGATAATGGTCTCTTTTCTTGCAATTTTCCTGAACTGAAATGAAGTAAGCAAGGGCTACAGCCGAGGACCATCTCGAGGTGTTAGCTTACCAAATGCAAATTTTCTGCATAACACTTTCTATACCCTGCGGCCTAGAGTCGAATGACAATCGACCTTTTTGCTGCACTTGCCATTGAGAGCATATCTATTCCAATATATATTATCATTGTGTAATTTAAATTGCTTTGTGTTTGATTTCAGTTGTCATTTAATTAGAAATTACTAATTGAATATAAATTATAAATCACTTCTATGAATAATTTAGAAGAAATCGAAGAAACTCTCGCTTAATATTATATATGTTTTATATATATTATCACCTATGACAATGCTCAGTCTGTGTAAATCTAAACAGGGTATTAAATTGTTGCCCACGCGCAACTAAATCACCGTTTGATTAAATCCTGTGTTACGATATCCTGTGCATATTTATTATTTATGGTTTCATATTTGTGCATAAATTGTGAGAGATAGGCGCACAATGAAAATTCGTTAGTTCCATTTACTCGAAATTGAATTGAATTGAAATGCAATTGCTTATCGGATAAATCCAGCTCGAACACACACACGCACACACACACGCACACACACACACCTACGCAAATGCAAATTGTTTGCTATTTTGCATTTAACAATGAAATAATAATAGTGACTGACTGGCATTATGATAGTGCGTAGCACATCCATTGCCAAAGGCAAATCCATTTAAAAAATGTCGCGGCAAGCCCAAAATCCCATCAAGCTAAACACACAGAGGTAAAGCAAGAGGGAGTGAGAGAGAGAGGGGGTGGGGGTAGCTACTGCCTCTTCTATTTACTTAAGGACATATTTATTTTTATACAAAAAATAACTGGGGAAAGGGTTTGATATTTGTTTTACTAGAATTTCCAATCGCTATCTACTTGGCTCTGCTTACCTAAGGCCTCTCACCTCTCTCTCCTCCTCCTTTGTCTCTACCACCATCTCTAGCTGTACCTCTGCCTGTTCACATATCTGTTTACATATTCACATTAGAAATTGCATCAGCTATCTGTCTGCTGTCCACAAACATGCCTGGTTAAATACATTTAATGATGCCGCGCCCTAAATCTAGCTGCCGTGTGGCCGCCCACATTTTAGCCTGGCTGAAAGCAGCTGTCAAAAAATGTTGTTAACTTAAATGTTAAATGTGTGGCACGTCAACGTCAGCGACCAGCGCTGAGGCTGTGTGCTTCAAATCTTAATTGAACTCTCAGTTATGAATTACGAATGTGAAAGAAGTGCCAAAGATTAAATGCTCTTACGCTCAAATGTATATTTGAAACTAGATTAGAGCATGTACTAAGACTTATATATAATATGGCTGCTTTAGAGAACGTTTTAACTATATAAATATAGTAATTTTGGTTTCATATACATACATATATTGTATGTTAATGGACAACAAAAATAATACATCTTAGGAGTATTTATAAGAAGAAACTCTAAAAGAATAGTTTAAATACTCGCAACAGATATTCTCTGAAAATATAGCTTCACTCTTCTATACTTCTAAGTATTTAATCTATAAAAATATAAGATTAATGAAGAATAAAGATTAGAAATAAAAATTCAGCAACGCCTCAATTATATATCTTCATGGTGCTATTAGTCTGAGAAAATATGCAGTATTCAGTATGTTTTTCCTAATCCCCAATAATATCAAGTATACGTCTAGTTCTAGAAGTGTACAAGATTTAAATATTTGGCTGCACTGAAATAAAAACTTGATATTTTAATACATTGTAAATGCATTTGATATTTTAAAACATTCTCAAAGATTACACATACAATAATATCATAGCTCACTTATACAAGCTAAAAACTTGATATTTTTTATGAAAGTCTTGAGCAAAGTTATAGCTATCTAAATACTTTATATACAAATACCACAAGCATAGCTTTAAAATATATTTCATGCTATCAAAGATAACATACAATAATTATGAAACAAGTATCATGCCCTCTGCTAAAACACCAAAAAGTAAGAGAAGCTAATTGAGTGGAAGGGGACTTCCCCCTCTCTGAAAGTTGTAGCACTCTCCATCATTATCTGTAATCGAGCTTCATTTCGTGTGGGTGGCTCGCTGAATCAGCCACTCGACTAGCTGGCGGTGGTTATTTTAAAATTCTATCAAAATATTGTTCATCTTTTGTCTAAGTCTTTTAAAGAAAAACCCGCCAAGTTCAGTCAGCGATGGTTAATTAACTTAATGCCACAATTGCTGCCAAAAGAGCAACCAATTTTCAGTCAGCCAAGGACTGCTTGGCTCCTGCAGGGGCCGCTTGGCCATCTGCTTTCTTGCTGACGCACAAATCAGGCAGAAAAAAGCACAAAAAAGCCAAAAAGAAAAATAAAAAATTCAAATCAAATTTCGTACGTGTCCGTTTTTTGGGGTTGCTTCGTTTTTGCCTTGATTTTTCGTTGTTAAACGATTGGCCAGGCTATCAAATCAAATGCTGTTTACCTTTGGCTACCTTTCGCCACATGACGCCCCCGACGATGCATGGGCGTGTCTGTAATAACAGTATTTACGATACACGAAACCATAAATGCTGATTTAAAAAACATTCGCAATAGCCTGATCAGATATATATAGAGATATATATGTATATGTTTGATTGTGGGCAATTAAATGCCATCGCACCTGTACGTGTTGGCCATACCGTAGCCGTGCCAGACAAACGCGTCAAACTATCCTGACGTGACTAATGACCGACGCGAGGCACCCTAGAAAATTGATAAAGAAAGAGATATACATTTACATTAATTTATGAAAATCAGGAAGCCACAAACAGATCTCACTCAATTACTATGTGCGTAGCATTTATGGAATTGGGAAATTCACAGACTATTCTGTCTGCCTCGCCTCTGTGGCGTTATCAATGGCAGGTACCTCTTATCGGCAGCTGCGTAACGATAGCGGCATTTACGCATTTACAGCTAAGTGGGGCAACCAGTTAACACGCCTCCAATTGTCATTTTGGGCTTGGGAATCGCGGACAGCTCGAGGCTGTGACGTCCAGTCCGAGTCGGAGAGATTTGTCGGCTATGTTCTCTGTTCACCTCAGCTTCAATTACCAAAATTACGATATTACCAAATTTTCACTAATTGCAATTTAGGGCGAGTTAATACGGTGTTTGTCACCTGGCGACGTCTATTAAAATTTATTTGTTTGTCTTGCTTCAAACTCAATGAAGCACATGTATGCGTGCACACGCACACACACACGCACAGTCACTCACACGCACATACACACACACACACACACACACACGCAGTGTCACTGCTTCATTGTCTATGTCGCCATTGTTTAACGGTATCCCAATCCACACAATTTGGCGCGCTACGCCCTCCCTTCCCCTCCATTTCCTTCTCATTCGCCTCTTCGTTTCATTTTGGAGACATTGTTTCAGAGAATGTTGAAATTTATTTCGTCAATTGAAATTTCGTATGGCTAGCGAGTGGGAGTTTTATTTAATGATTATGGATTGGAGTAATGGTCATTGAACTGCTGTTATATATATATATATATACTTATAACTTTGACAAAACTTGAGGAGTTAAACCAGGCCTTGGCCAATCTGGAGTTATCTAATTTTTTAGGTCTCTTGACTTCAATCGACTCGCCTTCTGTTAATGCTCAAGAATATATGCATATATATTAAAATGAGAGAAGAGAAGGGATTGATTAGTGGAGATATTGACCACTTGAGTTGTGTAGGTTTTTGACTTTCAGAAGAGACAAACCCATAATTACTAATAATTATCAATGAGTCTAATTGCCTCAGCTATTGTTTCTGTAGAAGAGAAAAGCGACTGCCACGTCTCCTGCTGCCTGTTTCATATAGCCCATATTCATAGTTAACACTCAGCTGATTTTATTGTGATTTAATCGCTCCCAAAATAATAATAATAATAATGAACTTTATTTGCTATTGAAAAGTCCCTAGACATGGAAGATAATTATGAGATTGTTATATAGGCATTTGCTATAAGCTTTATAACTCTATTTAGGACACAATTATTATTATCTAGCAATCATTAACTAAATTTACGTAAAGAGTTAACCTTTAATATTTTTTTCTAAAAGGCGAGCTACACTTAGCTACTGCCTGCCACTTATAAATGGCAAAGGGCAGACGATATAGAATGTATATATAATAATATATATCTGTTGGTATATATAAATAGCAAATATTTAGAATTTTAATAAGTATCCTTTTCTAAAATAAGAATAAAAATAAATATTAATTTTTAGTTTTTAATTTAATATAAAATTTTCTAAATATGGGTCAACTGATAGTATCTGTAATTATGAACTCCCAGGACAAAGCACTGAACCAGAATTTGCTGACAAACAGCGAAAACTGACGTTAAAATCTACTTTGAAAGGAATTCCCCAAGATACCCAAGGATATGAGCGTAATTATGGCTCATTAGCGGTGGCAATGCAGTTCTCCATTTAATGCATATGTAGATATAGATATACCGTATATATAATTGAGAAAAGACTGTGAACAACTGTTGAGCTTCAACTTCAGCTTCAGCTCCGACTTTGCGCTGCCTTTGTAACCGCATACACTGAACTTTGGTTTGGACTGGCTGCAAATTAGAGGGCGAGCAGCGAGACTAGTAACATACTAAAAATGGGACGTCAAGCAGCTAGGGTGGGGCCCTAGAAACTTGTCCCAAAAGTGCGCAAATTTCAGGGAAGCAGAGGACGCAGCGGCTACTCCTTTGTCACCAAAGCTTTTGGCTGAGGTCAGGGCACGCCCCGACGAGACCAACTCGCAAAACATGTTGGCGTGAAGCGATATAGTATATATATTCCCCCAAAGCGTGCCAGACTAAAAGGAGAGACAGATAGTGAGAGAGACAGACAGAGAGAGAGAGAGAGAGAGAGAGAGAGAGAGAGAGGGGGAGGGAGAACGGGTTGGCATTTTGATCTAAACTGGACACTCGCAATTGCCTGTAATTAATTTGTTTGTTTGAGCCAACCCACAGGAAGAAAAATGATAAGTACACGTGCAATAGGCCAAGCTCTAAGCGGACAACTGTAAATTTGTTAAGCCAAAAACTAAGCCTAAGCTCACATGACCCAAATAAAATCCATTGCGGAATATGACGTCAAATTGGCCACATTTTCTGCCTTGAAAGAATAAACAACTTTATGATATGATATGCTATAATATAATAATAAATCATATGTGTTGCGGCTTTCCAGCTTTTGTATGTGGAAGAGCAACGACTACTCTGCCTCACAAATCCTTTCAAGAATTAAGTAAAACAACAACAGTTTTCAATGCGCTTACAATATATTTAGATAATCAGGTCTTTTAGATAATCAGGTCTGTTCGTATTACAACCAGGCAGAGCCGGGAGTTGGCTTGTGGTGGGCATTGCCATGCAGCCAGGGTGTCAGGCCAATGGTCTCCAGATTGGGCACATGATTCGTGCCGGCAGTGATGGGCGAGAGTGCGGCATCCTTGATGATCGTCAGGTGATGGGCTGCGCCGGCATTGCCGTTACGTGTGAACTGTCCGAACTTGGCTGCTTCGTATTCGGTCTTCTGGATCTCGGCGGCGGCAGCATGAGCGGAGCGCTGCAGCGCCGAAGCAGCCTCAGCCTCGCGAGCGGCGGCGATGCGCTGCTGATAGGCAACGGCTGCCTTGGAGGCGGCCAGACGCTGCTGGGCCAGCACCACAGCCGAGGCAGCAGAGGCCGCCTCCGAGCGCTGAATGGCCGCAGCTGCCTCCGACTTCTGGGTCAGGAGTGCGGCATGGGTCTCCTTCTCCATGGCAATGCGCTGCTGGTTCAGCACGTTCTCCTTGGCCGCCTGCATCTGCTGCTGGGCAATCAGCACATTGGCCGACGCCTGCTTGGCAGCCGCAATGGCATTGGCCACTTCACTGGGCGATGGGGCAGTCTTCAGCGGAGCATGGCCAGCACTCCAGGCGGCACTGCTGCCCGCCAGATGGCCAGCCCAGCCGCCAGTGTTCCAGGCGCTGCCGAACTGTCCGCCACTCGTCGCTGCCCAGGGAATGGATACATCGCCAATGCTACGCTTCGGCAGCGTCTTCTCCTCGGACGCACTGCATCCGACTGCAACTACCAGAGCCAGCAGGAGAAGAGGCAACATTCTTGCTCCTTGTGAGTTTTGATTGATTGTGAATTGCATTTTGCTATAGATTCGAATGCTGCTCCCTGTCGCCTACTGAATTCCTCTGCTGAGGGGTTTACTATTTATAGCAGCAACAGTTGCTGCTGTTGCTATTGTTGCTGCTGCTTCTGCCGTTGCTGCTGCTGGGCTAATCACTCACGTAGGCGTTGGCATCGCCAATTTGGGCTCTATCGCTGTGGTAACTGATTTTATAACTGCCTCAATTTCATGAAGACCAGAAGGAAATGAAAGGCTGCTCTCAATTATCAAAAGCTTAGCTAACGCGATGGATCATTGCGCCTTTCATCATCGACTTCATTGGCTATCGTAACCCAATTTCTGTATTATTTAAACGGGATTTGGGGCTGATATTGTTGTTGTGCCTATATAAGAAGCAGATATAAGTACAGGTCTCTAGACAAACTGAATCAGACTCAACTGCATATCGGAAATATATATATTTAATACATTATTATTACTTATCTATATTGAATATCTCCCTTTACTCATATGACAAATAGAAAATACTTGGGCTTTAGCATACATAAACATTTATATAATTTCATTAAAAGGCATTTAAAGTTAGAACTGAAGTTTATTCTGTAAAGGCGTATGTAGATTAAGAGTCCGCTTAGAATTGAGTTTTACTGCAGCTCTTCTGGGCATTCTCTACTCTTACGTCATCTTCAATAGGAAACTCAGATTAAGTGAAACGAATGAATGAAATCAGCTCTACTCCAGCTTATGTGTATTGCCAGTAGTTCATTCTCAACTAATATAGTCTTACTCTATTTTCAATTATTGCCTTTGCAGAATGAGTGAGACAGGAGCTCTTCTAAAAGCCTTCCTCTCATTCTCAACTTATATATATATGATATTTATTTATTTAGGTCTATATTTATTTATTTTATTATATATATATTTTTTTATTAACTACATTTGCAGAATGAACGAAAAAGCAGCTATATTTCAGTACTCAAACAATCTTATCCAATTTTATTTTTATTTATCGTGTTTGCAGAATTTGTAAAATAGCATCTCTGCTCATACATACTTCAGAGTATTTCCCTAATTTATCTCTCTTCACTCTTTCATATTAATCTCAATTGTTGCACTCGCAGAATGGATAAAAACAGCATTAATTCAGCTCCATCTTCAGCATCTGATTTTACTCGCAGAGTGAATTCAACAGCAGCTCTAATTCAACTACAGGGTATTTTGTAGTCTGCACTACTCGCCCACTGCATTCTCATTCACTTTCAATTATTGCACTTGACTGAAGGCATTATATATGTCCAGTGCTCTTCGCTGTGTTCACATGGACAGGCATAAATCTATATAAGTAGATTCGTGGATGCCGCAGTCTTTTGGGCCTTTATTAATGTTATGAAAAAATAAAATTTAATTATAACGCAAGAGCCACGCAGCACAATATACGTGTCCAAAGGTATTACACCTGAAAAACACAGAGCAGACAGAGGCGTCACTCGATACAAATGATGCAGCTCATCTCAGCTCAGCTCAGTTCAGCTCTCAGCTCTCAGCTCTCAGCCCTCAGCCCTCAGCTCAGCTGCCAAACATTTCTCACTGGCCAACGGCAGCGATTGTAATTACCATTAATGCACGTCGTCAGGCTCTCTCCTGGACAAACTCGAATTTTACTTTTACTCGTATTAATGAATACAAATTGAATAAGACAAGCTGATGCCGCAGATGCCGGCTTACAGGTGTTGCAGTGGTGCGACAGAGACGGGGCATATAACTATATTAAGTTGCTTTATGTTAACTAATTTTAAGTGCAAAAGCAATGGATGGACTATTGGAGGAAGGGCAGTAGGGTAGACTGAGGGGTAAAAGGCAATATATATAGTTTAATGTAATTGATATACGTATATTTAATTATTTATTAATTTATTGGGCTTAATATAAAATTAAAGCTCACTTAAAATTGAGCAAACTATATACATAAGATAATATTAATGTAAATATCAAAATAATAAAATTCATAGAAAATATTTTATAATATATAAAATATATTCATATTAAAACAATATTATTTACATAACTTTCACCAAACTTTTCTTTCTAAATTTATTTAAAATATATAAATGAAAAGAACTCAATTATGATTGAAATATGATTAAATTATTAATATAATAATTAAGTTTAAAAAAATATATTTTAATTTAAAAAAAAAGTAGACACCTTCACTAAGATTTTTAGCTAATAAAAGATCAACATAGAAAAATCTTTCTCACACCAATTATTCATATACTGTGTCCATAGCTCCGCTCAGCTCATCTCATCCTCAATAAATATGGTTTTTGTTACTCCGATATATTGTTGGGATAACCCGAAGAAACATATCACCTTGGTTATTATGCATTTAATGGCCACACCCACACACACACGCCCAATCATTCGCCCCCAAGACGCTGATTTGAATTTATTTTATTTCAGAGCGCAAATCTGCTGGCCAGCATGTCCTCCCCGTCGATGGCATTCCAGAGCAAGTCACGAAAATCTTTTATAGGCATTTTATTGCTCACCTTTGTGGCCTTCCTGGCGCAAGGTGTTTGGGCAGCCGACCCGGATGCGGCGTATGTGGACAATGAGCTGCACAAGGACAACGGTTAGCAATCAGCCGGATTGGCTTTGTCAAATCGGAGTTGCAATTTGTCTTTCGCATTTTTTCGCAGAGTTCCCCAGTCTGGCCAAACGTCCGTCGTTCTTTGTGGGCAGTCGCTATGGCCGCTCTAGTGGTAATGGAGCCGTCAGCAATGGCATGGGCACCTCGAAGACGCGACGCCTAATCATCGTGCCGCGCAACGATCGATTCTTTCTGGGCTCGCGCTATGGCAAACGCAGCGATGAATACCTCTCGCCCTACGAACAGAACAGCCTGGGTCTGGGCCTGGCCAAGGCCGAGCGGGAGCCCAACGAAGCCAGCAATGAGAAGCCCAGCAGCAGAGCTCGAACCATGTCCTGCGTCTACACGGGCATCAGCAACTTCTATCGCTGCAGCAATGCCAATTCGTAAGTTCTCAAGAATCGAATATCTGCATTTGCTACATATGGCTTATCCTTGGCAGTGAGGAGCTCAACCTGGGACTGAATATGGGACTGGACAACAATAGTGTAGGCTCGGAGGATGCCAGCAACAATGTGAAGTAAGACATGGCATGGCATGACGCATTCATTGGCAGACGATTCTCTGGCTAGTTAAATATCCTTGTTATCCATTAGCTTCTTAGCTACACCCACACACCCATACACCCATACACACACACACAAACACATTCTTGTATCTTGTTAAATGGTATTAAAATTTTTAACGGGGCTGGAAAAGTTTTAATACCCAACAATAACTGTGTAAATAAGTAAGCATACAATAAAATATGAAAATGCATAAATACATCTGTATCAAATAACATAATAGGTTTACTGAATATATACATATATACATATATCTATATATGTATACATAATTATATATATTAACAAATTGTACTTTAATGCTTAATACAGTTCCATTCATTGGGTATAAAGGATCCTTTAGCTTCGCATATGAATAACCTATACATACTTACATATGATGTGATGATGTGATGCATATGAACAACTTCCATTATGCATGTATTACTCTCTTTCGCTCCTAACTAATAATGTAAACGTTCAATAAAGGCAAACAGATATATACATAAATAGATGTTTAACTCTATTTTAAGTTCATTTGCAATTTATCAGCGCAATATCTTTGGAACTCGTCGTTAAATATAATCAGCTTGACTCTGCTCAGCTTTTAGATACTCTATAAGCTGAAGTCATTTCTATATGTATATATCAGACTATATTAGCTGGAGTCTTACAATTATTAGAGATTATGTTTGTTAGAATCTGTTCTATATCTATTTATTTTTATTTTGATAAATATTTTTTATAATATTTCAAAAAAGTTGCTGCATCTAAGTTTCAATTATTTGATTATATTTCATCCAAAAACCTTAACGCTTTAAACGCCATATAGATGTAGGTCAATATAAACAGTAACTTTATTAATTCTTACACATTCTTTGCTTGGGCCATTCAAGGTTCTCAATTCATTTAAATTCTTAAATGTTTTTGTTTCATCAGAAAAATCTCGGCCATAGCAAAGCAATTTCCATAGCTGCTAATGCATTTCTGCGGGCTGACATATTTGTCTTACATACATATATACACCTGGCAGGGGCACAGGGGCACAGGCACAGGTGATGTATATGTTTGTATGCGGCACGTTTGTCGGCGTAAGTAGTACAAGAAATTTAATTATCATAGCCAGGCCCGCACCGATACAAGTAATGAGCGCGAAAAGGCGGAGCACTTACACCTGAAATGCCTTCTTGGGCGAGCGACGAATGCAGAAATGCTAGAAATTAAGCAAAAGTTTGTCTTAGCTGGCATTGATTTTAATTGTTGGCAACGGATAGCGGTAAACGCCGGAGTACTCCATCTCCACATGAGCGACAGAGCGGCAGAGTGGGAGAGAGATGGAGATATATATTTTAAGCTAGCGGCAAAGTGCTTGCTAATTGTATTAAGTGGCATTGGCAACACTGCCATCTGGTAGCTTCCTTAGCTATCCGCCTCTATCTCCCTCTCTGTCTGCCGCCCGCATCACAACTTTTGGGCAATCAGAACGTGACAGCGTGGCGATAGCTTCTCATCAAACAACTTCTCATAGCGCACCGTCAGCCCCAATTGCTGCACTGCAGCCAGCTCCTGCAGGTAGCACAGACGGTCGTACAGTAGGACATTCTCGCAGAGCAGCTGAGTGAAAGAGAGAAAGAGAGATACATTGAGTCAATTGATGGCCTGGTTGATGGGTAGACAAGTAATGAGCAAAGTACCTGGATGCTGGCCTGCAAGCAGGTCAAAGCCTCCGCCAGACGGGCGCCACGCCCATTGCCATAGACCTGGCTAATTGCCTCAAAGCGGCGCTCGTGCTCAGGTCGCCAGTCCAGGCCCAGCCCCGTTTGGCATGAGTGCAGCTGATATTTCTGCTGAATGCTGGCGAATGTCTGCAGATCTTGGTAGTCAGTCTGTGGCCTCTCTTGCCTCCTGACTCTGGTCGATTCGTCCTCATCGCACAGCGCTGCAGCGACAGAGCGCTGAAACATTTGACTCCCATGCGCCATATGAGTCCGGGCGTCACTTTGCCAGCGGGACTTGGTCTGCTGGCAGGCCAAGCGCAGGAAGGGTCGATGGAAGCAGCGAGCTGGAGCGGCGACAGCTGACATGGCTTCCCTCAGAGCTCTGCTCAGCGGAAAGTTGACGAAGGAGTCGCCATCTTCAGTCAGCGCGAGCTTGTGGTAGCAGCAGGGCATAATGTGAAGGCAGCGCACCTGAGGCATTCGCAGGAACAGGAGCATTGCACTGATGCTCAAGTCGGCGCAGGCATGGAGGCCAACGATTGCAGTGGGCGCCCGCTCCAGCCCCAGCGCAGCTGCATGCTCCTGAATGCGAGCACGGCAGCTGGCGTCGGCTGTGATGAGGAGCTGCTCGTAGCTAATCGAATTGGAATTCGTAGTTCTCTCTCGCGCTGTTTGTACTCTTTGCTCCTCGGCTTCCAGGCCGAGTATCAGATAATTGTCACTCAACTGGAGCAGCGCCTCGCTCAGGTAGCCCAGCCCAGACCCCAGGTCGATGATGCCCCTTGTGTCTGGACAATGCCCATGTATGTGTGAGGCCAACTTATCAATTTCATGCAATTTCTTGATTGACATTTTGCAATTATTTCTCTTGGACTTTCTGGGCGATTCGCCTGCAGCTGAGGCAGCTGCTTGAGTGGGCGTCAAATTTGCAATCTCTTGGCGAAAGCGTAGCACCTCCTCGGGGCAGTCCTCCAACGCCTCATGCACAAATGGAAATCTGTTTAGCTGCTCATTTGATAATTCCAGGAAATAGTCCTTCATATAGCCAGGCATCTCATCGAGTGACTTGAGGCAGGATGTATTCGCCTCGCGATATATCCACGCATAACGATGCAAAAAGTCCACAGCAGCTCCAAAATATGCGGCATCAGTGGCAAACCCCCTCGGCAAAGACATGGCTGAGGAAGAGAAGCAAATCCAATTGGATTGTAATGGGTAGTGAATCAGAATCAGTTGCCTTAGATTCTAATTGGATAGGACTTCGACTTGAATTTAAATGCCTGCTGATTCTATTGAATTCTAAATCTTAAAATTCCTCAACCTTATTAAATGCTAAACCGTATTATTTATTAACAATTTATATATTTATAAATCAGGTCTCAATAAACAGAAAGCCATTTAACAAAGACAACTTGCTTTAATTATCGTTAACATACAGAATCAACTGCTTTCGCTGGCGAAAACAAAAACTTACACAAGATAAACAAAGTATATAAAATAGAAATAGAACAACTGTAGCTTATGGTTATCTATATGTATATACAGTCAGATTTTTGGATTTGCAATGCGTCTCATTTAGGATATGATCTTCCATTTCAGTTTAGTTTCCTCTTCTAAGTTTTCGTTTGCTGGTCCTAAAATACATTTGCCAACGTGTTTGGGCTCCTCCTTGAAGTACTTGTCGATAACGGCTCGGAGTTCGTCAAGTGTTACGGACAGCACGCGGGATCGATACTTCACAAACATCTCCTGCGACACTCCGTAGAGGAAGAAGTCGATGCCGATGTTTCCAGGCGCTGTGGGTGAGTCCAACTGCTGCAGTACACCCAGCTTTGCCTCGAAAAGCGTTTGCTGATCGAGCTTATTGCTCTCCGCCAGCAGCCAATCGTAGGTCTTATCGAAGGCGTCCAGTGTCTTCGTGGAGTGCGGATCCCGATAACTGAAGAATGCAAATATGCCATCTGAGCCTATTTTCGCACCAGCGCCGTAAGCTCCATTCTGCTCCCGCACCACGGGCAGCAGATACTTGGCCGAAACGAGCTTGGCCAGGACGCGCAGCACCGGATGATCTTCATGCAAGTATGGCACTGCGAAGAATGACTTGGCGCAGTAGTTGACAGGAATATTCATGACATAGTGCTGAAAACTCGGATCCAACAGTTTCAGTTCATTGTTCTTATTCATATCCTTGAGCGTGGGCAGCTTCTGCAGGAAGTTCTGGTAGTGTTCCAGGGCGGTTGCTTGAAAGGCCTCCGAGGTATTGATGGCCACTCGCATGTTGCTCTTGCTGAACACCTTCGCTCCAATAGCCTTTAATCTGTCACGGATCTCCTCTGTGCTGTGTTGCTCCACATACTTCTTCATGAAGTCGATGTGATCAACGCCGGACAACAGGGATTTCAGTTTGGCAGCATCGCTGACCAGCGCAGCGGCACTTAACATGGCATACAGGTGACCGGAGCTGGCGATTCCAACTGATATATTAGAAATGTAGTTTTCAATCAGCATCTTCAGGCGCTCCGTGTCGTCTAGCTTGTAGTTGAGGAGCAGCTCTTCGCACAGCGCAAACATATCCTTCACATTCTTATCCAGCGCATGCGTCGTCATCATCAGGCCCATCTGATACGACTTGGCATCCTTTACATTCTCAACGAAGTTCAGCTTAAAGTCAAAGCCAGCGGTTTTCGAAAGAACGAGCTTGTCGAAGTCACGGAAATTGTGGCTGCTGGTGCCCATATCATCAATGACGTTACTGAATAGTGGGATAAGCACAAGTTCATCTCGACTCAGGCCCGTGATATTGAACAGGCACTTAAGATAGGAAATCTCGTTGGTGGGCACTTTGCACAGTTGCGTGGGAACGTCGACAATTGTTTTCGTCTCTATCGTTGGTAACTTGGGCGGTTCCTTAACATCGTTCAGAGTTAGGCACGGCAAGACATCGGTGCACTCCTTGGCCTTTTGAGAGGCCTCCAGTTTGAGGCCATTCGTATATATTTCTTTGCGCTTTTTGGAGTCGAGTGCACTCACTTTCTGTTTCAGCATCTCGGCCTCAGCCTGCTTGAAGTTCTCCTCATACATTTCGTCCGGTGACATTGTTAGCGTAAGCTTATGAGTATTATTTGCGAAGTACTTCTCCATTTTCTGCTGGAGATACTTTTTATTCTCTTTAAGGCAGCAGCGTAACTGGGCTATCATCTCCGACACCCGTAGGCTGCTCACAATATCACCATCATGATTCCACAGAGATGTCGAGTTAAACAACAGGGCATTTCCAAAATGGGGGCTCTGATGCTTCAGGGACAATTCCAAGTTGTGCAGAATGCTCTCAATGTGCTGAGCTTCAAAGCCTTCTTCGATGGTTTTGTGCACAGTTTGATCAAAAAGTTCGTTGAATCGTTTAAAGTCTTCGACCCTTAGGTCTTGCAGACCCACAACGAAGTATGTATCCCTACAATCCGAGGAAAAGCCGGTACTCTGATTGTAGCCTCCGGAGAAATTTGGCTCTATTAAGCTCTTATAGAAAGCCGAGTTGGGGCCACGAATCAATAAGTCGGATAAGACATTCAATTCAAAGCTCTCCTGTATATCAGTCGAATCGCACATCAGCAGCGCAATAGCTATCTGGTTCTGCCTATCGAAGGTGGCGCCCAAGCTGTCCAGTCGACTGGGAATGTGTACGTTGCGTGGCTGTGACCACGGCCTTTGATTTGGTATTCGGCTATAGGAATTATCTATGCGCGAATGCTCGGACAGATATTCACTATCGACAAATGCCAGCGTTTTCAACAA